CATAGGCGCGGCGCAGCATATTATAGCCGCCAGATACAGCATTCGATCCCGTAGCAGTTACGGTTGATCGCAGTTACAGTACATGACATGACAGTTCGGTTATATATGCTTTAGATCATGATATTGCAATTATTATTAATGTTTACTTTAGTATGAGTTTCTGCGGAGCACAGTGTTTTAGTGCTCACGCCCCCACGTATTTCATGTTTTTCAGGTTATAGCGTCGGACTAGAGGAGTGAGCTGGTTGGTGGATCGTGGTCAGAGATATGGCTAGCAGCCATTGTACATTATTGTACATTTATGTTTTTGCCACGTATGACTTCCGCTGTCACTTTATGATATTTCAACTAGCATGTCAGTTTTTATTTTTAAACTAATTTATCAGACAGATTTTTATAAAGTGTTACATGCCAGTTGATCTAAAAAAACAAATGGAGTCTGTGGTTTCAGGTGTCCAATGTACCCAACATTCCACAGAAACTCCCATGTTTGCAAGGCCAGAGGAGAAATGTGGATACAAACCGCAATCCCACTCTAAGGATAAAACTCATAACTATGTATCAAAAGGCGAGAAAGAAAAACACTCTTCGTCGTTAGATAATTTTTTTTTTTTTTACTAGTTTACCTTCATTTAGATAAATTTCCTTGTTGCATGATTATCCATATATAACTTCTCGGCAGAATTTTAGTATCTGCTTTACTTCAGCTGGTTAACTTTATAGTGCTTTTTCTCATTTTCATTCTTCCTACGTGCTAGTCTAATATAGCAAAGAAGGGTGGGAATTTGTGTAGTTTGTCCAAATGTTCTATTCAGATCATTTGTTTTGTTTTTTGTTTTATTTTTTAAACTTATTCTCTTGTTCATTTCTTGAGTTTCCCACAGAACTTTAGTGGTCACCCAGAATGGACGTTGTTGAATTCTCATTCAGTTACGTTGTCACATTAGAAATTCCCGGTGTCGGTATTGACAACGTAAAGGTGGAGGTCATCGACCAAAGGTATCCCTACAGAGATTTTGTCCAACTCATATACAGAAACACCAAGCATATTTCTTATCATGATATGATACTTTTAGTCAGTGTTCTTCTACACCTAATGGCAAATATATAAATCGTGACAGCTTGGTTGTAAAGGGAAACCGGTCTAACTGGTCTTATGGAGATGTTAGTCCATCTAAGTCAGCCTCATGTTATCACAGACGAGAAATTATACAGGGACCTTATCGAATTGAATGGCCACTTCCCACTAATGCAAACAAGGGGAACATTTCAGCTGAAATCCAGTAAGTTTCAGCTTTTGTTTGTTGTCTTCTACAAAAATGGTGGTTAAAACATTAACAGGACTGAAGAACTACTTTATGTGTTTGGCATATTCTATTAACACACATGTGTTCTCGTGATCTGCCAAAACAATCTCATTATTAATGCGCGTCAAATGTATATCATGTGTAACAAACGGTACTTTCTATCTGGTTACGCATGTAACTTTCTCCTTGTTAATTGATAACGTAAAAGTTATAGAAATGATGGAGTCCTATTATTCTGGTGTAGGGACGGGCTTCTCCGGATTACGGTCCCCAAGCTTTCAGTGCTAAGGTGGCTGAGAAAAGCACACATGTAAGAGGCTGGATATATGTTTGCTTTTCAATGTTAGCCTTCTGTTATTTATTAAATACCTCAGAGGTTGGTGATGTGGAGTGTTGTAAAGTGTGTCACATTAAGAGACTATACTACAATAAAGAAATTTATATCATCATATTTTTGCACTTGTTACTAGCAACATTGTCCAGAATCATTGATCAATGAGTTAGACTTGGGCCAGCAAAAGTATTTAAACTTGAGACTTGTTGGAATTCTCTTCAAGCTCAGTTGTACAATTGCAGAACCATATTCTGGTGGATATTGATCAATCTTGTATGATGTACCATTGGGGCTCAGGTTTTTCATTGAGCTTTCTGAATTTCTTAAAAAATCATATCCACAAGTAAAAACATGTCGATATTATTACTATTTTTAGTGTTCGATTGGGATCTCTGAAGACTTTTTAAGACTTTAAAATCCTGGTGTATTTAATCTACACTATTTAAGACTTTTAAAAGTATGGATGTATTCATTTGAGATTCTAAATTTTTAAAATCCTAAGGTATTTAACTTATTTGAGATTAGCATTTGTTAAGACTTTAAATTTACGCGGATTTCCAAAGAGAAAAATCATACAAAAAATCTCACTCTAAATCTCAACCCTGAACTCAAAATACCATAGAATTCCCCTTAATTTAAAAATTTTCAAACCCTTATGATTCGTAATTGTGAAACAACTACATACAGCTGACTGTGACTGGATACTACTTTCTTCATGAACAACCAACATTCAATATTCCCTCCTCCCTCCCACCCTTTTTTTGTGCATTTGCCATTGTATATCCCGTCCATTTTTTTTTTTTTTTTTTTTTTGCATTTGATATGGTATCTCTTAATAAAATTTGACATATTTTTATTTGTATCTATAGGGGTTAGTGTTTGAAGCATGTGTTATATTTATGTTTAACAATTGTTAGTATAAAAAAAATCTATTAAGATACAATTTTTACGTCACTTTGAATTGCGAACAGATTGAACACCTTACGCCTCGAACGGTCTTCTTCTTTGAGCTCTGATGAGCTGCAACATGGCAGGTGGGGGTCCCAACGAAAAACTCTCCACTCAACTTATAACTCGCTCAAACTATATATTTAAGAATATATGAAATAAAGCGTTGAATGTGTCTTAGTGATGAAAGAAAACTTGTATCCCTTATATAGGGCTAGATACCTGAAGGCCAAAGTGAATTATTTCTAGGAAAGAGATCCAACTGGATTCTATTTCCCTAACTTACCACGTTTTTATTTTGGTAAGAATCATTGAGTGAGTGATTCTTTCTTTCTTACTTGGATTCTTCTCCCTTTTATTGTTTTAGCCCATGAATCCTTAGGTCGTGAACTTGAACTCCTGAGCTGTCTGTTGTGGCCTTCGTGAGGACGCACCTGACCTTTTCCTGAGGTCTAGACCGACCTCATTTTCTAATCTATCCTGCCCTCAGACCACCCGACCTCGAGGTCAGTTACTTTGTCGGGCTCCTAGAGGTCGGTACCTCCAGGTCATGTCTTTTCTGGGAGCTCGGCACCTTAAGCCCATTCTCGAGCTACCTGACCAAGCATCTTGCCTCTGTATGTACGGGAGGTCTCCCAGCCCGGAGTTAACCGAGTTGTCCCCTCATATCGTTCTGCCTTGTTACTTCTCAGTGCTATATCAATTATAGTTTTGGTAGTAAATCAATTAGTTGGTTAAATAAATTAAAGATATCATATGATTTATTTTGAAGAAATAACACTGATAATTGATTAGCATAAAAAAAATAAGATATCAATAATGTTCGTCCTTTTTTTTTCTTTTTTGTGCATTTGATATTGTATCCCTGAATGAAATATATAGGATTTTTAAAAAATAAATAAATAAATAAACTGGTATTATTTCTCCGATAGTTAGTATGTTGAGATGATTTGGAAAGATTCATTTGTATGAATCAGGATTAGTGTTTAATATATGTATTATATATTTACGTTAACAATTGTTAGTATAAAAAAATCTGTTAAGATATAATTATTTTGGAAGAAAATCAATCGGGAATTCAGATAAATAAAGGATATAATATGATTATTTGTTTTGAAAGTAACAACATTGTAATCGATTAGTATAAAAAAACATTTGTTAAGTTATCAAAGATGTCCGTCGCATATTTTCTGTTTCAATTCGATATTGTATCTCTTAATAAAATATAGCAGATTTTTTTTTAATTTGAATCGGTAGTATTGATCACAAATAGTTGGTTGAGATGATTTGCAAAGATTGATTTGTAACGGGATTAGTATTTATAACATGTATTTACGTTTACAATTATTGAGATTTAAGTAAAACTGGTGACTAAATAAAAAAATACACTTACGTCCAAAATCACTATGAAAAAAAAAAATTAAATATGTCATATTTATATTTGTATGTATGTAAACAAAAAGTGTTTTGAACCGATTTTACTGTGTACAAATATTAATTTGAAAATAAATACGCTTTTTGACTCAATTGTTGTTTACATATCTTTATCTTTATTGTTATTATTATTATTATTATTATTATTATTATTATTATTATTATTATTATTATTATTATTATGCAAATGAATTTTTTTTTTACAAAAATAACTATTTATTAGTGAAAAGAATATTTTTTTGAGATCAGATTCCAAGTGGGAGCTTGAGCAGTTGAGAGAGGAGACTTCAGATTCCAAGTGGGAGGATTGGGCCTCTTTGAGATCAGAACTCAACAATGCTCACAGATTGGAGGAATCTTATTGCCAACAAAGATCCAGGCTCAACTAGCTTAAAGAGGGAGATGGCAATACTAAATTCTTTCATGCCTACACCGAACAAAGGAGGAGAATGAATGCAATTTCCAGATTGGTTTCTTCTAGAGGTGAAGAGTTCTGTACACAGCAGGAGATAGAAGCACACATTGAAGATTTCTACTCTCAACTTTTTACCTCTGAGGGCTCCTTGGGAGGTGATTCTGTTATTCATTTGATTCCTCAATCCATATCAGAGGACATGAACCAATATCTTTTGCTGCCTGTGGATGAAGAGGAAATCAAAAATACTCTTTTCAGCCTCCACCCTGAAAAATCCCCTGGAGATGATGGTATGAATGCTCTCTTCTACCAAAAGTTTTGGAATTGCATTAAACCTGATTTTGTCTCTGCTATTAAGAGTTTCTTTGAATCAAAAGCCATCCTGCAATACTGGAATCATACTGTGTTATCTCTTGTTCCTAAATGTGCTGTCCCAGAATCTTTAAACCAGTTTAGACCAATCAGTCTTTGTACTGTTGTCTACAAAGTTCTTTCTAAAATCCTTGCTCAGAGGTTGAAACCTTGTCTGGAGAGCTATATTAGCCACTATCAGTCAGCTTTTCTGAAAGGGAGACAATTGATGGACAATGTCATCATTGACCAGGAGGCTTTTCACTTCCTTAACAGGCACTCATCAGGCAAAAACTGGTTTATGGCTCTGAAACTTGATCTTGTCAAAGCTTTTGACAGAGTGGAATGGCTCAGTCTCAAGAAAATTATGATTCAAATGGGTTTCCAAGTATGATTCAAATGGGTTTCCACTTGGACTTTGTGAATTTGATTCTTATCTGCATCACTACATCTACTATTTCTTTCAAAGTCAATGGAGTTGTATCTGGGTTTATCAAGCCTTCTAGGGGAATTAGACAGGGGGACCCTTTGTCCCCCTATCTTTTCATAATTCTTGCTGAGTTATTATCTGCTCTTATAGTGGAAGCAGTGAATTCTGGTTAGTTAAGGGGAGTTAAACTGTCTAAAAATGGACCACCACTGTCTCACCTTTTATTTGCTGATGACTCCCTGTTATTCTGTAGAGCTGGGGTGGACCAAGTCAATATTCTCCTTGATCTGCTGAACAAATACAAGCTTTTCACTGTCAAATTGTAAATCTCCAAAAGTCAGTTGTTTTCTTTAGCAGGAACACTCCCTCTCACATTCAATCAAGTGTTTGCTTTGCTCTTCCTGGTATTCAGTCTCATAAGTCTACCAGGTATTTGGGATTGCCTTTAGGCATTGGCAAATCCAAGAAGGAGATGTTTGCTTATTTACTGGAATCTATTCAGACCAAACTTCAAGGGTGGAAATCAAAAATGCTTTCCTCTGCTGGCAAAGAGGTAATGTTAAAAGCTGTAATCCAAGCCTTACCCATCTTCACTATGTCTTGTTTCATGCTTCCTCATTCCATTTGTAAAGACATCTCAAGGTTGTGTGCTCAATTCTGGTAGAACACCAAAGAAGACAGTACATCTGGTATTCATTGGAGAAGTTGGTCTAAGTTGTCTGTGCCAAAGCTTGATGGAGGTATTGGCTTTCATGAAATTAAGCTCTTTAACACAGCCTTACTATGCAAGCAATTGTGGAGGATTATATCTCAGCCTGATCTCTTGGTTAGCAAAATTCTGAAAGACAGGTACTTTCCAAATTCAACTATCTTTCATACTGTCAAATCACACAAAGACTCTTGGCTTTGGAGATGTTGGTTGGATGTTCTCCCTGTCTTCACTAAATGCTTAAAGATTGAGATCAGAGATGGCACTCACACAAGGATTGATGATCCTAACTGGGTTCCATTATTAACCAAACCTAGGCCAGTGCTGATTGACATTGCAAAAGATCACCTTCTCTTTGTGAAGGACTTGATTCTTCCAGATGGTTGCACCTGGAATAAATGGCTCATTGAACAATGCTGAGGACAGTAAAGCTATTTTGGCTATCAAAACTCTAAAACCCAATGCTGATGACAGATTTGTGTGGCATGTGGACAAGAAAGGGGAGTTCTCAGTCTCAAGCACTTACAATTATCTGGTTTGGCAGAAAGTTCTCTCAATCGACCAGCCTGAAAGCAGCTCATCTGCCATTTCAATGATGAAAACACTCCACAGGACTTGGTCTCTTCATCTTCTAGGGAAACTAAAGCTCTTCCTCTGGAAATGCATTCAAGGAACTTTGCCTTCTCTGGTGAA